GCAACCTGTTTGGGGCGTGTGTGAACTTGAAACAAACAAAGTCAGTTAAGGAGTATCAGAGGCAGTTTCAAGAAAAGTTGGCACGGGCAAACAGATTTGTTCGAATTGATCAACATGTAAGTTTGTTCACAATCGGACTGATCGATTCTCTCCGCTTAGAGGTCGAAATACAATCACCTGCCACTTTTGTGCATGCAATGAGTACAGACAGAGCTTTTGAAAAGAAACAACAGTTGTGGGTTATGACCAAATACAATTATAGTGACCTTTCTCAATTCGTGACCAAACGTAACAATTCAGTTCAGGAAACACCGGTTCTACAGAGTAGTAATATTACGACACAATTTGGTAACACTTCCTCTCCAGTTATAAAGAAACTAATAAGAACAGAGATGACAGAAAAAAGGCTGAAGAGACTGTGTTATAATTGTGATGAGTCATTTGTTTCGAGTCACCATTGTAAACAACTATTCTGGCTCAAGATTCAATGTGATACTGGACAATAAGAAAAGACCAACGAGACAGCTACATCCACATTTTAAACTTGAGGACAAACTTAAAAACCAAGAGGGAGTAATGTTATGGATGCAAATATGAAGACGTAGCAAGAATAGGAAATTGATGTTCAATTAAATATGAAATCCTAACAGTATTAGATTCTTAAATAGTTGGAATTCTAATTAGTATTAGATTCCTAAATAATATATATTTTTCATTAGTATTTGATTTTTAAATAGTATAGGATTTTCAATATTTTAATAGAGTGTTTTTAATTAGATTTAAGTTTCAAATTAGATTAATATTCTTAAATAAGAATTGTAATCTTTATATAAAAGAGAATGCTTGCTATTAATAAAAGAAGTTCGAATATTATTTTAACTTACGAGATTTGAGCTCTCTAACCAGATCCAAGATAGCAACTTTCTTTGATGAGTTGTAGTCTATTTTCGCAAAACAGGCTACTCAAGAAATCGCAAGAATGAAAAGAAACAGATTACGAAAGCAGAAATTTTAGATAACTGCTCAGTGACAATATTTTGGTCTCAGGAACATAACACAAACACTTTAGCTGAACCAATTTCAAGTGTAAACATAGGAAGAAAGTGCCTATCTGGATCTAATAAATTTAGGAATCCCCAAGCCATGAAGAATCTTTCTTTTAGTAATTGGCCTATTCTCCTATCACCAATCTTTGCCTTGAGGACTTTCTAGCATAAGCAATCCATGTTTCTCTTGAATCTTCAAAGCCATATAGATAGCAAGGCTTTGTTGAAAAATATTAGATTTACGGAGCACAAGCTAAGGCCCCCTTTTTCAAAAGGTCTTTTAATTGAACTCGAAGTAATGTAGATGTAGAACAGGAAGATCCTATAGTTGATGGATTTTGATAATAAAATATATTATGTAATTGTAATACTTGTGCATTATTAAGGTAGATAGCTTATTGAAGAACTTGTGTCTATATACTTAATGGTATAAGTTTACTATTTCCTATTGGGTTAGGATCTTATTTAGTTATTTTATATTATAGGTTATTCGAATTAATTAACTTTTTTTCTATTCAATTGATTCTCTAGATAGAATTATTAATTCCTGTTTTGATTATATTTTGGTGTCTAGAAATAGAGTAAGTTAGTTATTTAGTGGATTATTCATATAAATATTATATAAAGATTGAATTATTGATTTAATTATTGAGATCCAAAATCTCCAATCTAAGTTCTTAAACAAATTTTCTCAAAAGTTTCCTGTTCAAGTTCTTGTCCTTCGTCACCAAACCATTAAATGAAAACACCTTGGTCATCTGAATCACCCTGTAGAAACTGACATTAAGTAGATTTCAATCTTTCAGCAATATTGATAATCAGAAATGGTGGATATAAGTCAATAGGGAGGTTAGATAGAATGTTTTTGGTAAGAGTCACTTTATGCCTTGAGATAGAAAACCCCATTTCCATCCAGCTAATGTTCTCTCTTATCTAGGGACAACAGGCTCCAAAGTGAAATATCTTTAACATGAGCTCCTAAAGACAAGCCCAAAAACGTAATGGGAAGAAAAGCAATTTTACACCCCAAAATACTCACCTAGTTACTATTCTCAGTAGCAACCGAGTCTTATGTTTGAGATGGACTCTCTATCAGGCGTGCAGAATAAAGGGTGTCATCAACACATAAAAGATGAGAGACCATAATACCCTCCTCTTTGTTGCATAAAGCCAGTCGTTTAAGAATATTCAACTCCTTGACCTTGCAAATTATTCTGTTTAAGGCTTCCAAGGTCATAATAAAAAGTAAAGGAGATAATGGCTCATTGTATCTTAATCCTTTGCAGTTTGAGGATAAGCTACAGGCCCGTTATTTATCATAACTGCAAAAGAAAAAAAATGCAATTTTTGATCCATTCACACTATCTCTCCCTAAAACCCAGCTTTCTTGACATTCAATGGAGAGAATTCTAGAATGTGTGATCATTGGTCTTTTCCATGTCTCATTTACCTCGCAAGCCCTTTCCTCCTCTCTGATAAGGTAATCTATCAACTCATTGATTTGATGCCCCGCTATAAAGGCGCATGATACTTCCCAGCCACAGAGCCAACCCCCTTACTCATCCACCTTGCTAGGAGCTCTACAATCACCTTATACACACTGCCAACAACACTGATGATATGGGGATATTTACTATTAGAGACCTGCTCCACTTTTGCAATCAATGTCAAAATGTAGAATTGATGTTGTGGACATTAAGGAAAAAGTCATAAAGAAGATTCACAATCTCATCTTTGATAATGCACTAGTTATGTTGAAGGAAAGCCAAGGGAAAGACATCCTGGAGTTGGACTTTATCTCCTTCACAGCTCATTAAGGCTTCATATACCTCTTCTTAAGAGTAAGGTCTCTCCACCCACTCCTTGTGCGCCAAAAGCCAGAGCCAGAAAAGGACTGTCCAGATTAGATTTTGCATTACTATGTACACAGTTTTAAGAAATTACAACTTATACTGTTAGTTTGACTCATTAATTAACACAATATCTTTTGCAGGTGGCGAACATTCCCATTCACATCATGTGGACCATGGTCATCATTTACATTCTGGACACGAGCATTCTCATTCTCATTCACATTCTTTGAAAGATCTTTCTGTTGGAATGTCAGTTCTGGGTAAGTATCTCATGTTTGAGCTTTATCCACCCCGGAAAAGTCTGTTACACTTGTTGGCTGCTCTGTATAGCATTTGTACCATATTCTTGGTTGACCAATTGGTAATGAAAATTTTGTATCATATGATTCATTGTATTTTCTTTTTCTTGATCAATCAAACAAGACCCTCCCTGTCTCCCCCCCACTCCCACCAAAATAAACTTATTTTGTTCATTAAGAGGCATTGATAATGGAACAGGACTGGATTACAGTAACAAGGGAGATATTAATGATCTCAGGGAGGGTAAATATGGATGAATAATCGTCATCATACTGCAACCACTCATGTGAGTTGGTGAAAAGGATCCAGTTATAAAGGGAGAAACTGGTAGATCTGAATATCTGCACTTTTTGCATTGTTGAGTTTCAGCTTTTGTCAGTGTGATATACTGGTCTGCAAAGCCATCTATAGTTCAGCTTATCAAACAAGCAACGTATAAAGAACACCTCCTAATGAACTCATTTTGTTCATTATGAGCATTAATGATGGAACAGGATTGGGACCTTGGTAAAAAGGAAACATTAGGGATCTCACGAGGGTGAATCTAGATGAATAATCGTAATTATACTGCAATACTTCTGTGAGTTTGGTCAAAAGTGGTGACTTAGAAAGGGAGAAATTGTTAGATCTGTAAAATATGCACTTCTCAGTGTTTAGTCTCAGCTGTTGACACTAATATATTTGAAGTCTGCAAAGCCCAATGTGTGGTTCAGCTTATCTTCATGGTGCTGTTATCATTGAAGGAGTTATTCTTTTCATTCAGGGATAACCTTTTTTCTTTTTTGGATCATTAGGAGAAAATTATCTTTTTTTATGTAGAATTTATATTCTATGCTTGTGTTTTGAAATGCTTTAAACATAAATATTGAATATTGAAAAGTAAAAATTGTTTTTGTTGTCAAAGAGGTGGTAGCTGGTGTCTAATGCCTTTGTATGTCATCTCTGTATAAATATAAGGATAAGTTATATTTACTGTTACTGCTCACTGTTATTTTATTCTTCTTAGACAACCAAGTATCCGTAACAGAATGCTAGCTGTCATTTAGGAGGAAAGTTTGTTAATTTGTTTTGTTTTTTCTTTCTGTTTTGCCTATAAAATAAGGCACAAAACCATTGATGAAATAAGATGAAAAAATGATTTTTTCCTATTCTCAAAATCTTCATGGTATCAGAGCATATCTGATCCAAATTCTTTAGCATCCCTCTTGCATTCAATAGGCAATGGATGAACAGATTTCCTCTCCACTCGAAGTCCTTTTGGGCTCCTATCTTCCGGTGCTTGACAAGCATACTCTGACTGATCCGCCTCCTTCTTTCGTTATTAGCCATCGACTAAATGGCAGTAACTATCTACAATGGTCATCCTTGGTGTCAGTGTTCATCCGAGGGAAAGACCGGGACGAATACCTCACTGGAGAGCTCTCACCACCTCCTGTGAATGATCCAAATGCTCGGGTATGGAAAGTAGAGAACAATCTTGTTATTTCTTGGTTGGTGAACTCAATGACCACCAAGATTGGAGAAAATTTTCTCTTTTATAAGACTGGGCACGATATTTGGGTCGCAATCCGTGAGTTCTACTCTACCCCATGACAACACTTCCGCCATCTTTGAAGTCGAAGCAAGTCTTCATGACCCCCGCCAATGAGAAAAGACGGTAACCCAATATTAAATTTTATTACCCGAAAATGGCAGCAACTTGACACTTTTGAGGAATATGCTTCGAGCTGTCTAGAGGACGCTATGGAACAGAAACAAATATTCAAATTTCTCTTCGGACTGAACAAATATTTTGACGAGGTAAGAGGACGCATCATTGGAACCAAACCTCTTCCGAACATCAGAGAGGTGTTCTTTGAGGTGCGATGCGAAGAAAGCAAGAAGAAGGTGATGATGGGTGAATCGCAACTCAGCCCTAACCTTGCTGAAAGCAGTTCTCTCTCACTCGAGGCTGGTGTAGCTTTCACGAGTCGGGTGACTGGGCGGAAGGGACGACCATGGTGCGAATACTGTAAAAAACCTGGGCACGTTCGTGGAAGATGCTAGAAGTTTCACGGGAAGCCAGTTGAAAAGAAGTCACCAAAGAAGGAGACTCATCGGGGCAATTTTATCTCAACTGAGGAGGAATCAGCTGCAGCCGTTCCTACCGAAAGTCTATTTAGTCTTGAACAGATCAGCCTCCTTCAAAAAATGTTTTCTCCTCTTGGTAATGCTTTCACAGCTCATAAAAGTAATTTTTCTGGTCTTTCAACTTATTCCTCAAAAAGGTGCATGTAGATTATTGATTCGAGTGCTTCCGATCATATGACTGGGGATATCTCACTATTTAAGGAATATAGTAAGTGCAGAGGTAAATTCTCAATTAAAATTGCTGATGGCTCTAGTTCCCAAGTCGAAGGAATATGAATAATTGCACTATCACCCAAGCTAATTTTGTATTCTGTGCTATACGTTCCAAATTTCGATTGCAATCTCCTATCAATAAGTAAACTATCACAGGACTTGAATTGTATAGCTACATTTAATTCTAAACTATGTGAATTTCAGGACTTGGACTCGGGGAAGACGATTGGCAATGCTAGTATGGATTCAGGTCTTTATTTACCGCAAGTTGACAACTCTTCTCTTAGTATACAAACTCATCATGCAGTATGTACTAATACTAATATCATCGGGATAAAATGGTTTGTATCATTTGTTGATGACCACACTAGAATCATTTGGATTTTTCTCATGAAAGAAAAATCTGAAATTGACCAAATTTTTTAAAAATTTCACACTATGATTCAAAATCAATTTCACACTAAAATTCAAGTATTGAGATCAGACAATGGGTGTGAATACTTTGAAACTATTTTGAGATAATATTTTTCTAACCACGGCATTATTCATTAAAGTTCTTGGGTTAATACCCCACAACAAAATGGCGTAGTCGAACAAACAAATAGACACATTCTTGAAGTAGCACGATCAATTATGTTCACTACCCATCTTCCAAAATTTCTTTGGGGAGACGCTGTTCTCACCGCTGCATACTTGATAAACCACATGCCCTCTCAAACTCTTGCATTTCGAACACCCTATGATACACTCTTAAAGGCCTTTTTACAATCTCATATCCTTCATACCCTTCCCTACAAAATTTTTGGTTGTTCAGCCTATGTCTATATTCATACTCACCTCAGGGGTAAACTTGACCTAAGGGCCATTAAATGTGTTTTTGTTGGATACTCACCAAATAAAAAAGGACACAAATGTTTGTGTCCTAGAACCCGTCGTTTCTACAACACTATGGATGTTACTTTCTTTGAAAACCAGTCATTCTATCCCACTACTAATATTCAGGGGGACAGTATTAATCAGAAATATCAAGTATGGGACATAAGTACACCACCTCTCACCTATCACCTCTCTTCCCCAGTCTATTACCGAGTCCTTATCAAATTTTCCTGAAAACAATATCAAAGAGTCTGAACTTGAACCTGTACCTAGTACTATCAATAAAGAGTTACGTGTCTATATTAGGAGAAACAAAACTTCAGTTGATAAAGATTCTGAGCCAACTATACATTGCCATGAGTCTATTCCAGTTCCGAGCAGTAAGGACACATCAGGTAATGAGTTTTCAGGCACAATTTCTGATATTGTTACTATTACAAACCATGATACTGAGTTATCTATTGCCTTGCGGAAAAGAACTCGATCTTGTACTAGACATCCTTTACAGGATTATGTTTCATTCAGCAACTTGTCTTCAAAGTATTATGCATTTGTAAGTAAGTTTGATGGCAGCTCCACTGAATCTAAAACAATTCATAAAACCCTTGCACTACCAGAGTGGAGAGGTGCTATTTAAGAAGAGATCAGGGTCTAGAAAAGAACAAGACTTGAGAACTAACAAAACTTTTATCGGGAAAACATAGAGTGGGGTGCAAATGGGTATTCACTACAAAACACAATCCTGATGGAAGTGTGAATTAGTACAAAGCTCGTCTAGTGGCTAAAAGTTTCACTCAGTCTTACGGAATAGACTATCAGGAGACATTCGCCCCAGTGACTAAGTACAACACTATTCGGGTATTACTCTCTCTTGCTTCTAATCTTGATTGGTCTCTCTGTCAACTCGATGTAAAGAATGCATTTCTCAATGGTGATTTAGAAGAAGAGATATATATGGAAGTCCTTTCGGGATTTGAGACTACATATGAATCTCACAAAGTGTGCAAACTCAAAAAGGCACTCTATGGTTTAAAACAATCTCCGAGAGCTTGTCAAACATATGGGTTATGAGCAGTGTCAGTCTGATCATATTTTGTTTATCAATAACAGTGCCTCAAGTAAGAAAGCAATTCTAATTGTTTATGTTGATGATATTAGTTTAACAGCTGATAACATAGATAAAATTCAAAAACTCAAAATTTTTCTTGCCACGAAGTTTGAGATAAAAGATCTTGGAGCACTCAAATATTTTCTGAAAATGGAATTTGCTCGTTCTAAAAAGGAGATATATGTGTCATAACGGAAATATGTTCTTGACCTATTGAAAGAAACATGGATGCTTGGGTGTAAACTAATAGAAACACCCATAAAAACGGTTACAAAAGTTGGTTTTAAAACTAATGGCAAACCAGTTGATAAAGAAAGATATCAGAAAGTTGTAGGCAAACTTATTTATCTCACTCATACTAGACATGACATCAGTTTTGCTGTTACTACTGCAAGTCAATTCATGAATCAACCTACTGATAATCATATGAATATAGTATATCGGATCCTAAGATACCTTAAGAATACTTCAGGACAAGAACTATTTTTTCAGAAAACAATGAACAGAAATATTGAAATCTACACAGATGCAGATTGGGCGGGTTCTGTGACTGACAGAAGATCCATATCTGGGTACTGTACTTATGTTTGGGGAAACTTAGTCACTTAGCGGATTAAGAAACAATCTGTTGTATCACGAAGTAATGCAGAAACTGAACTTCAGTCACTTGCTCATGGAATATGTGAGGGGGTTTGCTTAAAAAGGATTCTAATGGAAATAAAATTTTCAATTACTACTCCCATGAAAGTATAGTGCGACAATCAATCAACAATCAGTATGGCTAAAAATCCTGTATATCATGATCGAACTAAACATGTGGAGATAGATCGGCACTTCATCAGAGAGAAGATTGAACATCAAACTATTACAATACTCCATGTTCCTACTAGTCAGCAAACTGCAGATATTTTAACAAAAGCACTTCTCAAAGGATCCTTCAACGAATTGATATCCAATTTAGGCTTACTCAACATTTATGTAACCTAGATTGAGGGGAAGTGTAGAAATATTAGTATAAGTTATATTTACTGTTACTGCTCACTGTTATTTTATTCTTGTTAGACAACCAAGCATCTGTAACAGAATGCTAGATGTCATTTAGTAGGAAAGGTTATTAATTTGTTTTGTTTTTCTTTCTGTTTTGCCTATAAAATGAGGCACAAAACCATTGATGAAATAAGATGAAAAAAGGAATTTTTCCTACTCTTAAAATCTTCAATTTTATTGTCTTCATAGTGTCTTGTATTATGTAAACTTTGTTTTAATCCTTTAATATTATGTTCATTGTTAGAGATTCTGTTGATTGAGGTTTTGGTACCTTAAATTTTGTTATGAATACTGATATATTTGATGGCACAGCTGGGATTGTACTCTTCTTGGTTGTGGAGAAGCTGGTGAGATTTGTTGAGGAAAACTCTGGAGGAGTTGATGCATGGGGCTCTGGCCATCACCATCATCATCATAAGAGCACTAAGAAATTGAAGGATGAGGACAATCATGGTAAAACACTATCTCAAACTTCCAGCAACGAAAGGAAATCATTAAATAAAATCTCAGATGATTCTTTGGATGGAGAAGGTGATGATCAACCAAAATCTCCTCTTCGGAAGGTAGGTTGTGGAATTAGCATACTGTTTTAGATGTGCAGTTTCTTGTAATTTGATATAGTTGCAGTCTTTCACTTTGTTGTCTACCTCTTTCTATTTAATAATATTATTACTTAATGAAAAAGATGGAGTAGGCTGAATATTTCCTTGAACATAAAGATGATCTAAGGGAAGGCTGACTGGAGAATGGTTTGGCCTAGTCACAAGAGTACACAATATACTAAAAATCGAAACATCCATTCATTTGCTTCCAGCTGGCTGTGTCAAGTGTCTGTTTTCTTCCAAAAAATTTGAAAGAAGTCTGGTGATTTTTGAGGAAAAATAAGCGTTTGATATAGCTCTTTCCAAAAAAAAAAAGGTGCATGGTAAATCATTGCACGTAATGAAAAACATGCTTTAGATTTGTAAGTGGCATGTGTGTGTGTCTTGTACTCTGATTGTTATTTCATGATGATATTAATTCGTTACTCTCCAATTGGCTTCCAGCATTTATTATATAGCATTGAAGCTGGAGTGATGTTGGACAAAAAGAGGTTAAAGATAAAACTTTAAAAAAAATTTATTAAGAACAAAACTTGGGGATATCATATCTCAATAATTAAAACAATATCTCAATATTTGAATGATTATCATGAATAGTTTACTTAATAATTAAACTAGATACCTTATTTATAGACACCAAGTACATAAAAAATAGAAAATCCATAAAACCTAGTAAGTAGGAAAATAAGTTAAATAGAAAGAATTATGAAAATAGAAAATCTAAAAAATAGGAAATTGAATCTTCCTATTATTCTTTATTGTAAAATTTTCCAAAACTTAGAAAAAGAAATTGAATCTTCCTATTTCTTTTTGATGTTTATGTTCCTTTGTTGATTTTGTCATATATTTTTTTATTATTGGAATATCTCTATTTTAGGAGCTTTTTATTTTGCAGTATTCTCTCATTTTTTATAAAAACTTGACATTGAATTTTGAAATATCGAGAAAGAATATCAAATTGGAACTTGTCTTTCTAACAGGTGAAGCTTATAGAACTTGAGATTGTAATGATAAAACATTTCCCAAATCAAGGATTTTGAAGATGTAGTAAACCATTTATGAATGACAAAATCTATAGAAGGAAGAACAATCAAACTTTCCCTGTCGCTATAAGGAGTTGAAGAAATTTTTTGGGTAGTATCTTGAGATGGAGCCTTTTTATTGAGAATAGCATCATATTCAACCTTAGTAACATCATTACTTGCAAGAAATTAAGGGATGCATCACTAGGTGACTCAATCAGTGGAATAAAAATTGCAAGATTTTTCACAATCTCTCTATTATTTTCTTTTATTGACTTGTTACTATTAGTTGGATGGTCAATGGTGATCTCTTCGACTACCTCATTTATTTGTCAAAAGGAATTAACTGACAGTTAATTAGCTAGCAAATTTTATGTAATTAATCAACAGATATTATGCAGTTAATCAGTAGATTTGTTACAATTATGACAGTAAATTATGTAATTAATTATCCAGTAGATTTTTTGTCTAATTTTATGATTTGTATAGTTTTAATAGTTTTAATTAGGACATTTAGCTAATTTAGGGGTAGAAAAGTAACTTGTATATTTGTATATATAATGAGAATTCTCCTCCTTGGAGGACACACAAAAATTTTTCTACTCAAAATCTCTTAAATTTTTACTAGAGCATAAGTTCTAAATTCTTAAGTTTTTTTTTTCTTATTTCAAGTTTCAATCTTGTTTTTATTTCTAGTATAGTCCCTTATTCTTGTTTGTTTTTGATCAAGTTCTCTTGGCATCATGTTCACAGACATGTATGAGTTTATTTTGATTCGTTTTAATGGTAAAAATTATTCAGTCTGGACATTTCATTTTAGAATGTTTGTCAAAAGAAAAGATTTATGGGGTTATATTGATGGCACCAAACCTTCTCCAAATAAAGATAAATAAAATGATGAACATGCCAAGTGGGAGGTCAATGATGCTCAAATTATAGCATGAATTTTAGGATCTGTTGACTCGAATATCATCTTGAACCTCCAACCCTTCAAAACTCCAGCTGAGATGTGGACTTATTTAAAGAAACTCTACAACCAGCACAATATTGCTCGAATATTTCAGTTTGAACATGAATTAGCTACTCTTCAACATGGTAGTTTCTCTATTTCTGATTTGTATTCTATTTCTTTAAATCTTTGGGCTGAATATACTGATATAGTATATGCTACCTTACCTCCTAAAAATTTTATCTCTGTTCAATCTGTTCATGAAACCATTAAAAGGGATCAATTTCTTATGAAACTTAGATCCGAATTTGAAAGCACCTGGTCTAATTTTATGAACCGAGAACCTGTCCTCTCATTGGATGTATGCCTCAATGCTTTGTTTCGTGGGAAACAACAAATTCTCAATCAAACCACCATAGAACAATAAAGATCTACCTCTGTTCCTGTGGCTTATGCAACATAAGGTAAGTTAAAAGGTAAAAACTTGAGTACAATTCAGTGTTTTTGTTGTAAGGAGTTTGGGCATTATGTTTCAAATTGTTCAAAAAAATTCTGTAACTACTATAAAAAAGATGGCCACATTATTAAAGAATGTCCTATCCGACCTCTTAAGAAATCTGAAACAGCATATACATCATCTGTTGGTTCTTCTAGTACTGGTAATTCTGTGAACATGGCATAAAGTACTCCTGCTGCTCCTACTCCACCTATAACTCCTGAAATGATTCAACAAATGATCATCTATGCATTCTCTGCCTTAGGACTCTTAGGTAAATCTTTTTCAATATCATCTCCTTAGTACTTCGATTCTGCGTCCTCTAATCAAATAACCAACAATCTCAATTTTCTTACCAATATAAAGAAATAGTTTAGAAATCTCAAGATTTATGCAACTAACAGAAACTTTTTTACCTATCACAGCCATTGGTTACATTTCTTCTTCTCTAACAAATGTTTTTGTCTTGCCTAATCTTATCAATAATCTTGTTCTATCGGTCAATTGGTTGATAATAACTATAAATTGAAATTTTCTAAAATCTGGTTATATTGTGCAAGATCAACAATTAGGGAAGACGATTGCAAAGGGACTTAAAGTAGGACGTCTTTTCCCTCTCCCATTTCTTTTATCTTCATGTTTCTCTCAACCTATTATTATTTGTAATTCTGCTCATGTTGATTAACGAGCATGGCATAAATGTATCGGACATCCAAATTCTAATGTACTCCATATTTTATTAAATTCTAGTTTGCTTGGGAATAAAGACTCACTATCTCTTAGTGTTGTTCAATATGATTGCAATTCTTGTAAGTTTGGCAAAAGTAAAACTTTACCATTTCCCACTCATGTACCAAATGTAGTCCAGTCTTTTGATTTGATACATAGTTATATGTGGGGTATGGTACTAGTTACTTCTCATGTTAATTACAAGTATTTTGTGACTTTTGTTGATGATTATAGTCGTTTCATATGAATCTATTTTCTTCATTTTAGGGATGAAGTATTTTCTGTCTTCAAGCTTTTCCATCACATATTCAAACCAAATTTGCTAATAAAATCAAAATCTTTCGCTCTAACAATGGGGTGAATACATGTCTCATTCTTTTCAGGAGTTCCTATAAACTAATGAAATAATTTTTCAACGATCTTGTTCTTCAACCTCTCAACAAAATAGGGTGGCGGAGAGAAATAACTGTCATCTTCTTGATGTTGTTCGCATCCTTTTAATAGAGTCTTTTGTACCCTCTCGATTGTTCTCTCCCTCATTGAACCATGTCTCTCCTTTTACTCGGTTATTTGGTCGCACTCCAAATTATTCTAACCTTTATACTTTTGGTTGTGTGTTTTATACATTTTCCTGCATATAAACGCACAAAACTTACAGTTCAATTAGTTCGATGTGCATTTTTAGGATATTCAATACACCAGAAAGGTTTTATTTGTTATGATCCTAATCTGCGTCATATTCAGATATTTAGAAATGTGACATTTTTTGAAAGTCAATATTTTTTGCTACTCACCATTATCATATTTCTCCTTCATTTTCTGTTTTGCCATAATTTACTAACTCTTCTGCAGATCCTGTACCTTTTAAATTTCTCTTGGTGTATCAACGATGCATGTCTAATACATCATATCAGACTTCTACATCTAACGGGCCCCCTCCAACAAATTCCTTGACGGTTGATACTGTTCCAACAGCTGTACATGCTCCTCTTAGACGCAATACTCGTGTTCATAGACCACCAGATAGGTATAGTTTTACCCCTTCTTTTTCCTTAACAATCACCTTATCATTTATTTCCATTCCCCCTTCATATAAATAGACAATGGAGCATGAACGTTGGCGGCAAGTTATTAAAGCAGAATTTCTAGCACTATAAGAACACCAAACTTGGGATGTTGTTTCATGTCCCCCATATGTGAAACTTCTTAGAAGTAAGCTTGTGTTTTTCATAAAACTTCAATTTGATGGATCCATAGACTGTTACAAGGCTCGATTGGTGGTTTTTGGCAACAAACAAGAGTATGATTTAGACTATGATGAGACCTTTGCACTACTAGCCCTTGCTGCATCTCAATTGTGATCTTTACATCAAATGGATGTTAAGACCTTTGCACTACTAGCCCTCACCTATTATTTTTGTAAACTAAAACACTTTTTATATGGCTTGAACTAGGCATCGCGAGTATGGTTTGAAAAGTTTAAATCCACTCTTTTTGGTTTTTCATTTACTCAAAGTCAATATGACTCTTCACTTTCTTTTTAAAGGACATCTAAGGGTTTGGTTGTACTTCTTGTTTATGTGAATGACATAGTTATCACTGGCTCTGATAAGAAGGGAATCTTTGAAATTCAAAATTTTTTGCACTCTTCTTTTCATATGAAAGACCTTGGACAGCTCACCTATTTCCTGGGATTAGAGATGCATCATCGACCTCAAGATATTTTTTTGAATCAACAAAATTATATTCAAGATTTGGTTAAATTAGCTGGTCTCATGAACACTACATCTGTTGACACTCCTATGGAACTTAATATCAAATATCGACGTGATGAAAGAGAACTTTTTGAGGATCCTACTTTATATCGGCAGTTGGTTGGTAATCTCATCTATTTAACTATCACCCGACCAAACATTTCTTATGCTGTCCACATTGTCAGTCAGTTCATGCAAGCTCCTCAACATCTCCACCTATCAATATTTCGTCGAATTATCAAGTATATCCATAACACTCCTAGCCGTGGGTTCTTTTTTCCTACTAGTTTTTCTCTTCAACTACAAGTCTATAGTGATGCTGATTGGGAAGGGTGTTCAGATACTAGAAAATTTACTATTGTATGGTGTATGTTTTTTGGTGATGCTCTTATCTCTTGCAAAAGTAAGAAACAAGATTCTGTATCCAAGTCTTCCACTGAGGCAGAGTACCAAGCCATGTCTGCTATATGCTCCGAGATCATTTGGCTGTGTGGTCTCCTTACAGAGTTTAGTTTCTCACAAGTTCAACATACTCCACTACATAGTGACAACACTAGTGCAATCCAAATCGGTGCCAACCCTGTCTACCACGAAAGGACGAAGCACATAGAAATTGACTGTCATTCCATCCGGGAGGGATATGATCGTCAAGTTATTACCCTACCACATATTTCCAGCACTCTACAGATTGCAAATCTCTTCACTAAATTTATGACACGTCATCGCCATAACTTTGTTGTTAGCAAATTGATGCTTGTCGATTTACTAGCATCAATTTGAGGGGGGGATGTTAAAGGAATTAACTAACAATTAATTAGTCAACAGATTTTATACAATTAATCAATAGATATTATGTAGTTAATAAGTAGATTTGTTACAATTATGATGACCAATTATGCTATTAATTAGCCAGCATATTTTATGTCTAATTTTATAATTTGTATAGATTTAATAAATTTAATTAAGACAGATTTGTTTGGTTAATTTAGAAGCAGAAAATTAATTTGTATATTTATATATATAATGAGAATTTTCCTTCATCGAGGACACAAAAAATTTTTTTTACTCAAAATCTTTTAAATTATCATTATTAACTTGCTCTCATGAGTTAGATCATCACTAATGGTGAAATCACCTTGCTCCATAGAAAGAGATAAGTCGAGACATCTAAGTAGCTTCTATATTATTATCATCAATGATAATAAAATCATGTTGCTCCATAAAAAGAGATAAGTCACAACATGGTGGTCATTACATCATTATAATCCTACAGGAGAATTCCCGAAGATTTTATTACCTGCATAAAATCTTGTTTAAGCTTAGTAGAACAACCAACTACTCTTGTTAAGCAATCTATGAAACTTTTCCTTATCTCTTCGAACATTATGCAGAAGTGGAGATAGCGATTCCATTGAGATATAATCACTTTCTCGTAAAATTGTGATCATGATCTCTTCCATGTATTAGAAACATTCTTCCGTTGTGGTCGGATAGACTTGAGGAAGTACTTGAACATTTCTATGATTAATTTTTCACAATTAAGATCCAATTTCACCAGATATAACATATTTTTTGTAGGCTTTCAAAAATGAAGATCTTTCTAACAAATGATTGCCTTGTGTAGTGATTAATAATTTAAACATAAAAATAATTAGCTAAAAAGTCTTTTCATTTGTGTGTCATCATAAAGAACATCTGACGTAGTTTCTCCTAGTTAACTCACATATTAATAACTAACTTCAAGTTTCACATTGGCATTAGAATGCTTGAGAATTTGATCATCCGTTAGTGGTTTTAATAATATACAAAGTGCGTCACGCATTGACTTAGATGGCCCTTGAGATACTTTTGTTAGTCACTACTTAACTTTACCCATTTTAGTTAGAGGTCCAAGCTGGATGGTCTGACCTTCATGTTTCTGGCTGAGGCGAGTCTAGAATTGCTTGAAAGAAAATTCACTGAAGAGGAGATTCTTGAGGGACTCACACAATATAAATGGGGTAAAGTCCCTGGACTCGATGATTTCAACATGAGTTTTTTACAAAAATTTTGGCATGTAATGAAAGAGGATATTCTTGAGTTTTTTAAGGAATTGCAGAATCTGAGTCGTTTATTAAATCCTTAAATTCTTCCTTCTTGACACTCATTTCAAAAGTGGAGGGGTGACTATATTAAGAAGTTCAGACCTATCAACTTAGTTGGGAGCGGTTATGAGCTCATTGCGAAAGTGTTGGTTAGAAGGATGACTAAGGTGATGGATAAGGTTGTGTGTGAATATCAATATGCCTTTATGGAAGGAAGACAAATTCTGGATGCGACTCTTGTAGCTAATGAGATTATGAATGATCTGTTATTTATGGATACGGATGGTGTCCTATGCAAGTTGGATATGTAGAAAACCTATGTTCATTTAAATTGGGATTTTCTTGATTATATGCTAAAGAGATCGCGTTTCAGGGACAAATGGTGCGAGTGGATCGACTTATATATTATTACAACTTTTTTTTGCAGTCATGTGAATGGGTTCTTTTTTCTTTTTTTTTTTGAAGTTTCCAGAGATCTTAGACAAAGTGGTCCCCTATTTTCCCTACTATTTTTTGTTGTCATGAAAATCTTGAACAAAATATTGCTAAAAGTAAGAGAGTTGGAGTTATTTAAATGTTTAAAGGTGGGTGAGGATGAACTTACAGAAGAGGTAACTCACTTATTTTTTTTGCTAATGACACTTAAAATGTTTTCTTAATAGGATGAGAGGGCAATGCTTAACCTAAAATATATTTTATTGAGTTTTCCAACGGTTTTTAGAATCAATATTTTCTAGCAAAATCTGAGTTGGTGAGACTGGGTGATGGGAGGGTGCTTATAATTTGGCGAGAGTTATGGGGTGTAGAAATGTGGATTTGTCGGTTAAGTACTAGGAGTTGCCATTAGGGGCTAAATATAAAAATGTGACAACATAGGATCCTATGGTGACGTGGTATGAGAGCAGGTTGGCGAGATGGAAAAGAAACCCCTGCCTAAGTGCGGTATACCTACACTCGTTAAAAGTACGGTGACCAATACCCACATTTATTAGATGTCCATTTTGACAATCCCTACAAGTTTAGTCAAGAGACCAAAATTAATTTAGTGTAGATTCCTATGAGACAACTCAGCAGATAGGAAAAGTATCACCAGGTGGCATAAGAAGAGATCAAAAAGCCAATATCTCAGGAAGGTTTGGAGTAGAGATCTTCAATGAAGATGAACGCTTACAAGGAAAATGAATTTGGAGATTCAAATGAAAACGGTATTCTATTATGGAGGGTGATACTGACAAAGTTCGGAACTGCAGATAGGGGGTGATACTCTAGAGTATAGACTAGACTGCATGGAAGGAATGTGAAAAAAAATATTAGTCGGTAGGAATAAATTTTAGGATTGTATTAAGTGAAGGATTGGCAGTGGGGACATAATCAGTTTTTAACAGGGCACTTGGTTAAGAGGGGGAGAACAATTTTCCAAATCTATACTATTCTATGGAACAAGAATATCTTGGTTTATGAGTCATTTAGAGATAATTGGAGGGAGGGGGGAAGGACTGACATGTAGAAGTTATGAGAAATATCAACGATCGAGAAATTACCAATTGTGAGACTCTCCTCCATACACTCTCGTTGCCATCAATTAACAAAGTAATGACTAACCAATTTGGAGACTCAATACTAAAGTATTTTCTGGTCAGGTGTTTCTATAATTAATTGATTAAGAATGATGCACGAAGACCAATTTTCTTTTTCAGAAAATCTGGAAGGTTAATGCTCAATTCAAACTAACTTTCTTTGCATTTAAAGCATGTCTTGAGTGTATCCTTACTATTGATAAGGTGATGAGGAGAGGGAAAATATTGATGAATGGATGTTTTCTATGCAAGAGGGAGGTGAAGTCTTGTAATTACATCCTTTTTTGGTGCTTTCATGCATATAAATTATGGACTGATCTATGAGTTATTAGGAATCAGTTGGGTGATGGCTGGATTAGTGAGGGAAGAGATTTGGGTCTGGGAAGGTATTAGTGGAGGGAAGAAATATGTGGGTCTTATTTTCCTTGCTATTTCTTGGGTAATGTGGAAAGAGAGGAACAAGAGAGTTTTTGAGGGATGAAAGATGACTTTGATAGGGTCGGAGATAGATGGCTCTAGACTCAGTTTTTTTATTACGAGTCATCCTCTTTATAAAATCAATGATTTTGTGGACTTTATTGATATTTTGATTGACATTTAAATATCTTTTGTATATAGGTTGATACCCCCTTACTGTTTGTGAGTTAATGAATCAATGTGTGAATTAGGGCAACATGATGAATCGAATTTAGAACAAAACTTAGAGATATCGAATCTTAATAATCAAAACAGTACCTCAATATTTGAATAATTATCATCAATAGTCTACCTAATAGCTATCATAGCTATAAGCACCAAATACATTAAAAATATGAAATTTAGAAAATCTAGTAAATAGGAAAATAACTTAAGTAGAAAAAATTAGAGAAATAGGAACATAAATTTTCCTATTTTCCTTTCTTGTAAAACTTTCCAAAACTTATAAGAAAATTAAATCTTTCTATTCCTTTTAGTTAACTTCTCAAAACTTATGTTTCTTTATTGATTTTGCACTGTATTTTTATCACTGGTATATGTCCATTTTAGGAGTTTTTCTTTCTGCACCATGGAGTTTGGTGGAAAACAATATATTAAGTGAAATAAATTTAATGCAAGCTTTAGATGGATACTGACTATTTTTTGTGCTTGTATCCTTGCAGAGAATGACTTCTACTGGTTATAGCAGTGTTAAGCCGGATATAGATGCTGCAGATGTGTCGAAAAATAATATTAAACTTTCGGACAAAGAAGAACTTGCTCAGTCATCAAATCTTGTCTTTGGTTACCTCAATCTGTTTTCTGATGGTGTTGTAAGCATGCATGCCTTTTAATGTGTTAAATGTTCATATTTTTTTTACATTCAGTTTATATCTACAGATGGGAAGAAATGCCTCTTCTAATAAGAAATACACGTTTCTGACTGCAGCATAATTTTACTGACGGAATGGCTTTAGGAAGTGCTTTCCTTCTTTATGGCTCTGTTGGTGGGTGGTCTAGAACTCTGTTTTTGCTTGCACATGAGCTTCCTCAAGAGGTTCGTGTTCCTTCTACTATTAATTCATATAAACGTTCCTGCCTGGGTCATTTTTATTTTTCTTTTCAAATTTTACTTGGAGGTAGTTACTGCACAATCAGCACTGTATAGGGGAAGGAGCACTGCAGATGGAAATTATCTTGACTTGAGCTGAATGCTTAATTATTTGAGCACAATTCAGCTCCTCAGTTTAAATCTTTTTATAGACTTCTATTCATTCTGTAGAAGGTCACAATAACAAAATTCTTTGTCTTGAAAAATGAAAAACATTAACAGGCACCAAATGGTGCCACCCATTATCAAGGAATTATAGAAGATCTGAAACCCAAGTGCGTATAAGTTCCCAAGTTCTCTTCATTTAGAATAGGACACTTTGTAAACAACATAGGGTTTGGAATTAATGGACTCTAGTTTTATTATAAAGAGAACAAATGCCCTCGAAACTCTCGTGTTTCTTTCTCACCAAATAATAAAGATAGATATGGGAATGAGATTGTTGGAGACATAGGCTAACCTATGGACAATGATCTTTCCTCTCCTCCTCAAGGTGTTCGCGGTCAAACCTTTAGGTGCCTCCTATACTGTCGCGGACACGTAAATATGGAAGGCGTGGCAAGAAGTAAGACTGTGGCTAAATAGGAGGTTCAAGTTCAATTAAATATGAAATTTTAATTAGTATTGGATTTCGAAATAATATAAGATTTCTCATATTTTAGTAGAGTATTTCTAATTAAACTCATATTGCAATCCCTAATTAAACTTAGATTCCTAAGTAGGGTATTACTAATTAGATTCGAATTTTTAAGTAGAGTATTTCTTATTAAACTCAGATTTTTAAGACTTATAGCATTTATTTAAAGAGATATTTTTGTCATTAATAAAATAAGTCAGAATTATTTTCAAAGTTACGAGGTGAGATCTCAAAAGAGGTGTAAAGTAGTAGTTCCCTTTTGATGAGGTGTAATTTATTTTCACAAAATGGACCGTTATCATAATAAGAACAAGAGTATTAACTGTTTATTAAAAGACGATTTTGTTATTAATCGTCTGATGGCTCGATCCTTAATCAGGGAACGTAACACATACCAAGAAGGAAAACCTAGAGGAAATCTTGCTCTCCCAAATTTTGCTTTCGAAAGAACTAGAACTCGATCAAACCCAACAAAACTAAGACCTGATCGAGCTAAGGAAATAGGTAGACGAATGGATAGAGGAAGACTCTAGTTTTATTATAAAGGGAAGAAATGCCCTTGAAACTATCTTGTTTCTTTCTCTCCAAATAAAAAGGATAGACATGGGAATAAGATGGTTGGAGACACATAGGACAATCTATGGACATCTTTCCTCTCCTCCTCAAGGTGTCTACGGTCAAACCTTTTGGTGCCTCTTATACCTACAAAGAGACTGTAGAGGAAATCTTGCTCTTCCAAATTTGCTTTCACAAGTAGAACTCGATCAAACCCGACAAGCTGTTGTAAGTGGAAGAATGGATAGAAGGATTGAAGGGTCTGTGCAACCAGAGACAGAGACAAGCTGTTGTGATGACCAATTTTGAGGCAGAGTGAGATGACAACATCACCTCTCGTAAAGATGAGGACAATGACGGGTCCTCTTTTGATTTCGTGATGTTATGGAAGAAGACACTGGAACCAAAGCTCTTACTCGCTTGTGTGGAAAATCTGAATGAAGTATGGAACGGATTACAATTCCTATTCACTGATAAAGAAAAGAAAGTGCATGGAATGGAGGCAGATAAGGATCAGGTTGTAAGTCTCATGCAGGAGGCATATGACAGTGTTTACAAAGGGTATTCATTGGAGGTGGAAAAGGAGCCAAACCAAGATTCCAGGGGCAATTCGCAAAATGTCCTGGGAAAAATTCTATCCTGTTCTGTGCTTCTGACCTCACTGTTTTCCTTGTGATACAAGGACAGAAGTGAGAAACATGCATTCTGGTAAGTGTATTTTAACACTTCCCAAACACTCTATGGGTCTGGGGAATCATAATATGCTACAAGAGAATGGAACAACCAAAGGAAAAGCCATTGCCATTAACCTAATAAATGATAAGTAGTAATCAGGAAACTCTATCTACCCTCAAGGATAAATTTGATTTCAGGGTCACTGGGGAGAGAGGTTAGGCAGTCAAGATAGTAATGTGGCCCAAGAACCTATGCACATAGGAAAAGAATTATGTAGGTTGGGATTAGGAAAGTGGCCCAAAAAACACTTAACAAGGAGGGAACAGGCAAGAGGGAAGTAGAGAGCAGTAGATGAAGATAGTATCTTGAAATATTAACGGGTTAGTAAGCTAGAATAAGAGAAGAAAAACTTAAAGAGATTCTAGAGAGAACTAATCTTGTCTTGGTGATGATACAAGAAACTAAAAGATAAGAGGTGATAGATAATTTATTAGGAGTATCTGGTACATTAGGTTTAAGGATTGGGTGATTATACCTTCTTTAGGGCTTCGGGAGGAATCATGATCATATGGGACACAAGAATTGCCACCAAATTAGATATAGTTGAGGGAAGTTTTTCAATTTCAACCTTCTTGAATATCAAAGGGAAGGGATGTTGGTGGTTTACTAGTGTCTATGCACTTACTAAATAGGGGGAAGGTCTTCTTTCTGGGAGGAGTTATCCTCTTCGGCAGGTCTCTGTAATCTATTTTGGTTTTTAGGAGAGAATTTAATTGTTCGCAGGTTTCCCCAGGAAAAAGTGGGAGGTCGAGTTGATATGACCATATCTATGCATAATTGCAACAATTTTATTGAGTGTGGACTTTGAGACTTGCCATTTGGCAATACAAAGTTTACTTGGTTAGTGGATAGACAAGGTATTGTGTCCTCACGATTGGATCGCTTTCTGGTTTCTAGCAATTAGGAGGACACCTTCCCAGGGTTAATATAGAAAACTCTTCCAAGACCTATTTCTGACCATTACTTAATCCTGTTGGGATCCCAACGTATCAATTGGGGGCCTCACCTTTAAGGTTTTAAAATGTGTGGCTAAGTCACCCACATCCGGGGTTTCAAAAACTCGGGGAGAGGAGGGTGGTTGCCAGATGATGGACCAAGTTGGGAAGGATTTAGATTTATGCGCAAATTGAAGAATATGAAGGAATCATTAAAAATTGGAATAAGTAGGAATTTGGGAACATTATTGCGAAAAAGACAGGT